CTTCAACCAACTGAGCCACACGGGCCAGGGCTATTCTTCCAAAATTTAAGTTTCTCTCTTAAATTGTGTTAGTCTTACAGTTATATAGCCTCTTTCTTCTCACCCCCTCTCTTCCAATATTTGAGATTTAAAAAAAACACAAACAGCATTCATAAGAGATATTAGCATTTAATCCTGTTTGTTTTGAATTTGCATCAGGAGTGATGACAGAGGAATGGGAATTCTCTTGAGCTGGGGAAGCACACTGACAGTGCCAATCCTACTACACTTTCTTGGGGGTTGCCTAGAGCCGCCGTGGGGGTAAAACATTTCCTTCTAAGGGAGCACCCATCACGCAGCTTGCTATGAAGGTGCACTGGCTGCAGCAGGAACTTGATTAGGACTTCCGAGTCATGAGAATCAAAACTGGAGCGTTTACTACAAAAGGCAACTTACATAATCCCTCTTAATTAGGCCACGCAAGTTCAGATTTGCAGGCCAGGAGTTCTAGTTTCCGTTTTTAATGTTCAGACTGTGGATAAGCCATTTCAGCAATTGCTGGGATGGGATTCTTTATGAAGTCTCATCAAGGAACACGACTGCCGATAAAGCTCAAATGTGAGCCCTTTTTAAGATACACCGAAGCTTCCCTTCATATTTTGTTCAGGCTGAAGTGTGGGAGGGGACCATTTCCAAATCACACACAGAAAAGGGGAAAAGACAGTTGCATCTCTAGCAGTCGAGCCAGGAGTCCATACTCGTGGCAGCCGTCGTCGAACTAAGAGGTGCAAAGGCATTTAAAACTGCAGAGGATTCTGTCACCGAGCTTCCCGAGTAGCTCCGAATGAGCAATTCTGTGTATTTAGGAAGTCTGCTGGTTCCCAAATCACTAAGTGACCAACAGCAAGCACTAGCTGGCTGTTTAAGGCTGAACGGAGGGCGTTCGCAGGGCTCCGAGTCCACCGGCTACGGGCCTGGTGTGACGGTGGGAGCGGCAGCAGCCCCGGCGCACACAGAGGCACAGACACGGACGCAGGGGCGGCACACACGCCGGCGTTCTTACCCAGTTCCTGATCTGTTGGGTAGCCATGGAGATCCTGACTGTGGTTTCCCCAGTCCTCCTGTGAATACTCCTCCATAGCGCTGCCATCTGACTCCAGCTCCTGGTACAAGCCACTACTGTTAATAAGTACAGGCTGGCAGGGCTGAGCATCCCATCCTCCCTGACCAAACACCTGTTCCAACTGTTCAAATGTGTAACTGCTCTTTCTTTTCCCAACACCATGTTCTTTCACCCGACTGTAACACCTGCGAAGGGTCTAAGACACAAAGTCTTTTGTTATTCCTTTAGAGCTGTCCTTCCTCCTCCAGGTCCGGACCACAGACATTAATTACCATCAGACAGACACAGACAGACAAACACAGACACATTGTTACAGGAATGCTAGATTTCAAATTCATTGTTATATTAGAAAAAATACTAATTTAGCATTTAACTCAAACATGTTATAATTCAAACAATCATTTTGCAATTAATTATCTGTTAAACAAGAACCAATACAACATTATTGCATGTACCCCATACACATATTTTATACCCCCTCCCCCACTTAAAAAGAAGAAGAAAAAAAAAAAAGAAAAACAAGAAATACCAGCCAGCCAATAGGATGCACACCTGCCACAGGAGAGAGAGCTGCTGCTGTGCCGGAATGTGGAAAAAGTGAGGGGGGGGACAGAAAGGACAGTTCCCCAAAGCAAGGGCTATGCCCTTCCTTCCTCCTGATTGAGAAGCATGCAGGGTCAAAGCAATGGCCTGAGCGAATCGACTAGAAAAACACAGTCCACAGTCCGTATTCCTTACTAACTCACCCTGTCTTTGGGGAAGATGCTAAAATTTAAAAGGTCAAATCAATAATGCTACAGATTCCTGGCCTCAAACACCAGTTCTCCAGAAGCAATACACCAACGCCTACGGCTAAAGCTGAGCCACTAAGGCTAGCCTGTCCTAACAAGTCACACTGCCAGCTAAACAAACCAACAAATGAGGCCACTAATTTCCTTTCTGGGGGAGAAATGAGGTGTGGGCTGTCATTTCACTTCTTTTTCTGCCTTGTAGCGCACAGCAAATCCATACCATCAGGCAAGTCCACACAGAAAACCTGGGTAAGCTCATCGCCTTGCACAGCCCTTCCATTTTCTTCATGGTCTTCTAAGGCATACTTCTTACTGTCAGCTCAGTTTCCTCAGTTTCATGACACACCTTATGCTATCTTGTATGATACAGCAAAGGATAAACCCAGGACTCAGTCCCAGCTTCCAAATTTAGTTTGGCCGCTTTCAGTCTCTACCCCATCTCTGCCTTCCGCTGTTCCTTCTACTGGACTGGGCTGCACTCTGAGTTTTCTTGAGACAAGTCCCCTTTTCTCTGGTGACTCTCAAATACTTTCTAACACGCCTGCGCAAAACCAGTTCACCTCAGACTTCACGTATGTGCATTAGCCAGACCACGAATGTCTCCTACATGTGCGATGACTTTCCATAAGCCAACACATCACCTGTTCTCACCAAACTGAACTCAAAAGTCTTCATAGAGCCTCCATGAAAGTTCAGTGCCTTTGAATCGCAGCTGGCAAACCACCAGGAGACACTCTATAAAGTACTTTGCAGATCTGTCCCTTGATGCCAGAAACCCAGATGGGCAAAAGGAAGAGTGAAAGCATGACACTTAGCTGTTGTTCCTCAGACACAACAGAGCAGTGATCAGCAGCACCCTGTCCCCAAACCAGCCAGCCTGCCCCCTGCATGAGCACCTCCCTCACTCGCCCTCTCCAGATCCCTGCTGGTGCCTCAGGGGACGCCTTAAAGCACTGAGGTTTCTGATAATACACTCTCTAAACGTGCTCCTTCCTTCTCTTCGTAAAGGATGGTCATAAGTACACGTGACACAAAACTCTCTAGAACAAAAGAACTCGGGAAGTGCGTCAAGGGCAGCCCTCCCGGTGGAAGGAGACAACGGCCTGCGGCAGTTCTCAGTGGGCTCTACTCTCCCCTCTCCGCGTGCCCTCTGCCCTCCCTGCAGAGACTGGAACTGGAATTGCAAACATCTCTTGCCAATTTATTTTTATCTCACGATGCCTAGTTGCTGCCTCCAAGAACACCCCAACCACTCTTTTCGACTCCTCCAAGGACCGTAAATGGAGAGTCCCAGCCGTGTCCCTCTCACCCTTCAGGGCCATAAATGGAGATGGGAAGTGTGCCACGACTGCCTGGCTGCCTGGAGAAAAGAATCCGGCACAGGAAAGGGATCAGTGGGCTCTGTCCCTGGGGGTTACTGCCGAAGTCAGGAAACACAGCTGATGTTCCTTTGAAGAAAGGGGCCGCACGTATGAGGACGTGACATGGGCATAAACAAAGCCACCAAGCTCTGACGATAGAGTGGGAAACCATGGAAACGATTTGCTTTCTTTGAAACAACCAAACTGAGCTTAGATTTTCACTTATGCAACTGAGAATAAGAAAACTAGCCATATCTAATGGATTTAGATATGGAAGAACAGTCAGATGATATATTTTATATTTCTTACTTTGTAGTGTACTTGTGTAATACACTTGAATAGTTAATATGCTGATATGTAAAATGTTTAGTAGGGGTCTGAAGGGAAAATGTTTGGTAATCCTAAATCATTATGATAAAATTTGATGTGCTGAAATAATGTTAAAAAGACTTCCAAATTGACTTTAACTTTCTCAAAACATAAACAAACATGAGGTACCTTCTGGGTTCAGTGAAGACTACAGATCCAAGGAGAGGCTGTTTAAATAGGACACACTGACTAAGATAGAAAAAAACAAAAAACCCTCAGCTTGACTGCTACTGTAAGAAACACTGGGATTTAGTCAAACTGGAGGGATTTAGGGATGGACAAAAAGGACATATGGAGACCTTCCGATTCTTATCACCCATAATACATCAGACAGGTGACACCTCCACACTCTAAAGGAAGAACCAAAGCATACACTTAAATGACTGTGTCTCTGTCAACAGTCCAAAGTAAACCACCTTAAAAACCTACTCTAAAGTCTAAAATTAAGACAACGGCTCCAGAGTCTAGAAGAAACAAAGTCTCACCTCCCATTTCTGACAGCTGCACCAAACCCAGCAGGAACCTCAGTTCAGCTTCTCTTGGAGAACCAGTTGCTATTTCCTGCTCAGAACAAAAGCTTTGCTTCCCTTCCTTCCTCCTTTACCTCATTCATCTGAGAAAGTCATAGTAATTTAAGCTCTAGCATTTTCTTTTTAAACTAATATCTTGGGGGGGGGGGAAGAACTTGCTTACAATGACTAAAGGCTACTCTATTCACAATGAAGATGGCTTTCCTTATGGTTAGAATGTCCACGGTAAACACGGTTACTGTCCCCTCCCTGGGGGAAGAGCCGGGAGAGACACTGCACCTTGGATGAGGTCACAGGGACAGAGGTCAGGAGGAGTCCAGGGAGTCTGGACAGAACAACAAATCGCAGGGAGCGACTGGACTAGGCGGGGAATCAGAGGAGCGCACAGGGCCCCGTGGGGAGAAACGCCAGGCGAGTGCTTCCTAAATCCACCCTGCCAGCTGTTCAGTGACGACGAGGGGGAAGAACCGGAGGAGAGACTTGACAGCGGTCCCATAACCAAAGCAGGGAGGAAAGTACCATGGCTGACAACCGACAACCGAAAGACAGGGTCAATTCTGCCAAAGTTTCAGGTTAGAGGGGAAAGGAATGAGAGCGTAAAGATGACATTCATTGTGGATGAATGTAGGGGGAGTCTACAGGGTGGGGGTGGGGGACAGGGCGGGTAAACAAAGGCAGGGGTTTTAGATGGGCAGGACTAGGGGTTCAACGCAGCGATGCAGAGAAAGACCCAGGGTTACAGTACACGGAACATCAAATACAGTGCACAACGCAGCTATCTTGCCAAAGTAAGTAAATCCAGTATTGGGTTGTATAAGCAGAGGAATCACATGTAAGCTATGAAGGTGGCTCTTCCTCTCTAGTCAGCACCGGTGAGGCCACAGCTGGAGCACAGCATTCAGTTCTGGGCATCGAACCAGCTACAAGAGAGGGAAATTGTAGAGTTCAGAAAAGGGCAAATAATATAACGAAAGGCTTGGAAAATAAGATCTGTAAGTAGGGCCAGTGGTTTCATCAAAGCCCTTTCTGCCATTATATGAGCTACTTTTGGGGTAAAAATAATGTCTCTTTTGCCCCCGTGTCCTCCAAACCCTCCTTTGACTGTCAGGAAATGGGAAAGACGGAATTCTTCCCGGGTATGGCAAGGTAGGAGCAAGCTAGGCAAATCGTACAGGCAGAGGCCAACTAATTCTGCGACTGGCTCAACCATTTTCTCAAAATTTACCCCACCTCATTCAATCATAAAGGAAGCACCATGACAAAACCACTGTTCTAGCAGAACTGACTGCAGGTGGGACAGGGTATAGGGGAGGGACAGAAATAGGAACAATAGCTACTATATAAACAGGCTGTGTAGAAAACGCTCGTGGGCGTGACCAGTCTAAGATGTCAGATGACAAAATAAAGTCCAACTGCGGAAGGACAGCTTGGTTATAACAGCAGGAAACAATGTTATAAGAAAAAACAAGCAGTGAAACAGATTTTCAAATGTAGTTGCCAAACTGGCCATTCTAGAAATGGATTGCATGGTTTATCATAACACTCTGCCTACTAACTGTGACACCTTTGAGATTCTTTTATCCCAACTGATTCAATAAAGAATACACTTATTTGCAAACAAAGTCTTAAAAATCACATTATTATATTCCACCGGATATGAGGAAATTACTGGGAGCAAGTCTCCAGTGGCCGATTGTAAAAGTGTTGAGAACAATACCTCAGCCTAAGCAGATGTGTTTTGAAGCCAGAAGTCTGTGAAATAGATCTCCTTTCCTTTAAACTTAATCACTGCTTTATTGTTGTTACTAGTTGCTCTTAGCTAATTGAGGCAACCAAACAATACCGAGTTCATTCAATATCTTTCAGAATGTAATTGGTTTTATTTTCTGTGAGTACAAAGGTAAGAAAGAAAAAAACCTGGAAGTAAAGAAACATTTCTGCGCTCAGTAAGAGGGATAGTAAGAATATAGTATGAATTTTTCTATTTCTCCATCCATCTGTCTATCTGCAGAGATGTAACTTGATTAGGGCATCATCTAAGGCAAAATCCTTCCATCTGGGGCCTCCAGAACTTTTAGCTATTTACCTAGGTTTTCCATACATCAAAATCTGGCAAACTGACTTGCCAATCATCTAAATCCTTTAAAACCAACCCAATACCACCCCCCTCCCCCACAAAAAACCACACACATAAATACAGTTCTTATTTCACACTCCCATATTCTTAATGCTACACAGGAAGTTTTGGCAAGTGAAAGATCTATTCTTAAAATTTCCTTTTCCTCTCCAGAGCAGAGATTCTTCACTTTTTTGGGTCACGGATCTCCTCCCCAGAAAAAAAGTGCATACAAAACAATTTCAAGGGGAACATGGACTCAGTGAAGAGCCCAAACAGGAACCTCGGGTTAAAAAACTGCTCTATACTAGGTGGTTGTTTCTTTTGTAAAAGAAGGTAACAGGTGGCAGTCAGAAGCTCTAAGATAAGGTAGCTTCGTTCAAGCCTTAGGTTTCATAGGAGACTAAGGATCGGGACATCCAGTTTAAGTACAATTTACCCAGTTTACTCACTACTGTGCTCATTTAGATGAAGCACCATTTACATTTCCTTTAAGAGATAAATTAGCCAAATTCCCCTGTTTCTTGAAAGAAGCATACAAGGATATCAACTTACTCTTTACAAAAATATAGCACTTTTTTCTATTTCCTGGGAAAGAAATCTTTTTCTGAAGTGGCAGTTAAGCAATACCAAATGATTCAGAAGTTATGCTGTTTACCTGTTCCAACTGTATCACATAGTACTCGAGCATTCATTATCTGGTTAACATCAATATCGATGCTAGATAAATCTCCCAAGGTAACCACTTAAAACAGGGAAATTCACATATCTAGAAACAAGTACGGACAGGAAAGTAAGTCTTAGTAGTCACAAGACTAAGCTTTAACATTTCCCATTTTAACACTAACGGGGTCTCAAAGGAATAGGCAATGCCTACACTTATTCGATCCCTAACCCAACGGGATTATTCTGCTGAAACTGTTCATATTATAGTCAGCAATGTCTTCTTAAATACTAAGAAAAATGGTCCTCAAACTTTTCCTTAACTCATTCGAGTTTCCTGAGCATTTGATACTGTTCATTACCTATTTGTGCCACCATCCCTGCCAAATATCTCTTATAAAATTTTCTATAATGAACTGCTTTGACGGGGTGGGTGGAGCTGCCTAAGGCTCTAGTGGCAAACCAGCTTCCAACTTCCAAAATATGGAAGTTCTGAAATGGAAAAGAAACTTAGAGATCATCTAGTCCGACTTCCCCACTTAAAAAATGAGGAGCCAAGGCCCCAAGACAAATATTCTTTCAAAAGGGACCTGCCATATAAAACTTACCAAATGTCACCACAAAATGTTGATGTTTCGCAAGAAAGCTATGCCACTAGATTGTGAGCTCCATGAGGCAGGGATTATGTCTGCCTGCTCACTGTGTCCCTGAACCTAGAACAGGGCCTATCATATAAGGGCTGTTCAATATACTTACTAAGTGAATGAATTAATGTAATGTTAAAGTAGTAAATCACTTAGCAAGAAGATGAAATTTTTCTTAGCAAAGAAAATCAGGAAACTCGTTTAACCATGATGGTCGATTTTATTTATAAAATCAATAAATTCAAGTGTGTAGGGCTCCTAAAATCTTTTGGGGGAAAAAAGGAACAGAAAGGGATATTTAAAAAAAATAGATACAGAGCTATAATTAGCAAAGAAAATTATTTCTTTGTGACAAAGGAAAACTAACTGCAGAGGTCAAGGCTGTTTTAAAAATACAGCGGAGCCTTGGTTTTCTAATGTAACCCATTCCGGGAGACCGTTCAACTTCAGAAACGTTGGAAAACCGAGGGATCCACAGCCGACAGCTGGGCCTCAGGATCTTGTCCTCAGGGGAAGCGGCAGGGCATGTTCGACTTCCGAGGTGTGTTCGAAAACTGAAGCATTTCCTTCCAGGCTTACGGGGTTCCTAAACTGAAATGTCCGTCAACGGTGACATTGGAAAACCGAGGTACCACTGTATCTACTATTCTGCCCCGACCAGTGTGGCTCAGTGGTTAGAGAGCAGCCTCCATTCTGACCAATTGGGAGAGGGCTCTTTGGACCAATCAAACTGCGAGGATTTGGAGGCCTCGTTTGCATGAGGACAGACCAATCAGGGTCCGGGGGGACTTCTGTCTGTGCAAGTCAGCTCCCCCTGACTCGGAAAGTGTGCTTCCCTACAGCACTGCCTTTCCTGGGCTGGAGCTGAAGCAGCAAAGGCCTCTGGAGCAGATCGGAGCTGGCTGGCTGGCCAGGGGCTGCCCCCGGGCCGACAGCAGTGCTGTTTGCACAGACATGCTGTGTCACAACTGACCTGTTCCTTCTTCACTGCACCCAAACTGGGAATTCCTGTTGGTGTTGAATTCACGCCAATGACCTGACCTTTGGTTGACACTAAAAACTACCATATGTAAAAATATGTAAAATATATGTAAAAATAACCTATAATACAGATTTTTCCACTAGTAAATTTTATGTATTTGGTTGTGAAAAAAAGAATCTTGACATTTGGATAAAATCATTTAAAAATTAAGGTTATTAGAAATCCTCCATCAGTATATCTGGGTATGAACATTAAGTCAAGATCTAGTCAACTGTTTTTTTTTAAAAAAGGGTAAATAGTGAATTACTTCAAAAATGTTTCTTTTTTGTTTTTTTGCATTTACATGGTATAAACTACAGGTCATAAATGCATGAAAAGAACACATCTGACACATACCCTTCCTATGAAAAACCTGAAAATAAGCATATTTTAAGTTTATGCACCTATTCTTGGGCAACCTGAACTTATTTTAGAAAGTTGTTAGAAATTCACGTCATTATACTTTTAAAAAAATCTTTACCCGAGGACACGTTCATTGATTTGAGAGTACGAGAGAGGGAGAACGAGAGAGAATGAGAATCACTGATGTGAGAGAGAAACATCGATTGGTTGCCCCTCCCGCCTTCATGCCCCACCGGGGATCAAACCTGCAACCTTTTGGTGTACGGGGTGATGCTCCAGCTGAGCCACTCGGTTAGGACAATCATACTTTTTATAGCACATTTGGTAGCATTTTACATTTTATTCTTACCTTTATGAGGATTGCTAAAATCAATGGCCATATGAAAAAATGTCTGTACCTTCTACAAAAATCAAACATTTTCCATATGTGGCTCAATGTCCCATATAATAAAGGTAAACCATAGCTATTTTCTCAGTGCCCACTGTGCACTGGGATTTGGGCTAAGCAGTTTACATTTATTATTCCTGATTTTTATAATAAAGCTAAAGGAGAGGGCCCCAGAAAACACCCTGAGGAGACAGTGCAGGAGGTTTCTTGTGAGACAGCGAGAGGAGCAGAACTGGCAAAGAAGCTGAAGACAGTTGGAACAAAGGCCTTGGCCAATCCCAGAGTGAGTGAGGTTTGGACCTTGCGTGAACCTTCAGAGTTGTTCCGAATTGAGGCAAGGAGGCTGTACCTTTGTGTTTCAGCACTGACCAGTCAGTGGACTCAGGCTGCCGCAGGACAGGGAGCCTAACCTTGGGAGAGACAGCGCCCTCGGGCAAAGGGAAATTCCCGGGAGGAATCCAACCAGAAGGCACCACCAGTCAGCGCTCCGGCAGCTGGGGTGCTGACTCCTGTCTCATTCCTGGAGGAGGGGTCTGGGCGGTGTTATCACATTTGTATGAGAGAAGTGATGCGTCCTGATTTAACAGAAAAGAGAACTATGAGAGAGGTAGCAACTTATTCAAGGTCACTGTCAGAGTGCATTTAATGTAAATTAAGCTTTGGTTTCAAAACTAGAACCTGGTATGCTTCTCTTTAGCAGACATTGCAAAGTATAGAAAGTCACCGTATTTACCTTTTCTCCACCATAGTTGCTGGGAAGTTTATAGCTCATTTTAATATTTAGATGAAATAACCATATTTACCTGGATTACTACCGTACTCCCTGCACTGATTTATTTTCTGACCCTATATTTAGCTTTCTTCACATGCATATCCTTTTTGTTGGTACATTCATATTATATACTACAAAACAGTGCATCTCATCCCCATCAGCTCTCAGGAGACAAGCACCTGAAGGTGACAATGGCAGGCATAAGGTAATGTACACTCTATGTCCTCCTTTGTCGGCCCCATCCTTACCTGCTTTTACTGTCAAAAGGTAATTCTACTTTGTAAACGTTTCTCCTCCTGTAATTTAAACTTCCTTCAAGAGTTGGTAGTCCAACAAATACCATCATTTATATAAAGATTTGAATGAATGACTGAACATCTTCTACGATAAAAGTTTTGTTTCAACATCTGTTTTTACTTCTTCCAAGGGACATCCATATCAGTGTTTCCCACTGTATGTATTATTTTAGGATACCATGAATTATCTGCAAAAATTTTTTAAAAATCTGTGTTTTCATTTCTATGATACAAAACATGTATGAATGAGCATAATAATATCCACCTGGGTGTTGCTATGTGATTTGGTATTGCATTTATGACTTTATGATCACACTGTTGCCAAAATACTACTTCAATTGTCAAAATTTAATGAAGGTGGGCTGATGATTAATAAGGGAGCAATATGCATAACCAAGTGGTTTCGAGCATAGAGTCAGACTGCTTAGTCTAGCTTCCCTACCTACTAGCTTTGTGACATTGGACAAATTGAACTCTGTGCCTCAACTTCTCCATCTGTGAGATGAGGCTAATAACAGTACCTCATTCAGAGCCTTGTGTTAAATGAAAAATACAAGCAATGCACTTAAAACAGTGTCTGCCCAATAGCTTACACTCAGAAATGTTAGCCGTTATTATTACAAAAATGACTGCCACAGGTGCCTTATGAATAAAGTTAAAGTTAGTTCAAGTAGAAAAAATTAGCAGCAAAGTTTTATCATAAAGCTAATGGTACAAATAATAAACTCAAAAGAACCTAACTGCAGCACTCAGTATCAAAATCTTGTTTGGAAAAGTAAAAAAGTTTCAGCCAACCCACATTCTCCAATATTAAAGGAATACTAGCTTGATTGACTGACTGATGTTAATCCTCACCTAAGGATATTTTTTCCATTGATTTTTTTAGAGAGTGGGAGGGAGGGAGGAAGGGGGAGAAAGAAACATCAGTGTGAGAGAAACACAGGACTGGGGCCCGGGGATCAAACCTGCAACCCAGGTATGTGCCCTTGACCGAGAATCAAACCCACAGCCCTTTGGTGTGCAGGCTGACGATCTAACCACTGCGCCACGCTGGCCAGGGCTTGATTTTATTTTAATTTTATTATACTTAGTGTTTTCTAAAGTTGTTTTTGTTTGATAACATGTGAGATCGGTATGTAAAAGGGCTTTAGACACAGATTGAGGTTTGTTCCATTACTATATGGACGTTTTTGCTTGACCATCATTATTCAAGTTTCAGAAACACCTGGTTATATCATCACAGCTTCTTCAACTTTTTGGTCATATTTCTTCCTTTATAGATAAAAGCAGTCATTTAACCATTTTCAAATGCTTATAGTCTTGGCAGAAATATGGTGACTAAAACAATGACATGAAAACAAAGGGGGGGGGAAGGACTCTGGAGTGAGGACTTGGCCTCGCTCACCAGGCAACGTGTTCACAAGCAGCAAGAGGCAGGCAAAAGTCAGCATGAGTCCAACAGAAAGCTCGAACGGCCCATATATTCTTAGAGGTCATTTTAACAAAAAGTATGTAGACCTCTCCTTCATTTTGTGGTGCTTGGAAATTTACAGGAATTAAAATCAGATCCACCATCACTTTTCAAAAAATGTTTCATGAATATGTAGTTATGATAAAGTTAAATTTTTCCACTGCTTTTTTTCCTCTTAATTTTTTAATGTGGTTTACATTACTTATATAGAAATATTAATTCATGCTGTTCTAAAATTGGAACTCTGATCTATCAAAGTCCAACTATTATCCAAGTTCTCTAATTTGCACCAGCGAGAAGGAACCTCACCTGGTTTTGCTGAAGACTGAACCTAGGAACCCCGCAGAGCTGCTCACTACCTAACGAGTGAATGGGTACCAACAAGGCTGCACTTCACTGGCTGGTGGGCGAACCTCGGGGACAACTGGACATATCATAGTAAAACGGCAGAATATAAAATCATAAGTCATTCTTCATAAAGCAAAGGCGAACACATTCCTATTTCTCATGCTTTANGGAATATAAAATCATGTCATTCTTCATAAAGCAAAGGCGAACACATTCCTATTTCTCATGCTTTATAAGAGGTAGAGAGCTCAAGCTTTCTAAGGTCAATAAGGCTGATATCAAGGAATATCACATTGAGGGGTTTTCTAATTGTGTTAATTGCTGTGAATGAATATATTTTAAGTATCATATTGTTTTCTATCAGAATACAAGCTCTTTGAAGACAGGTTTTTTGGGGGAGTTTCCACTTTTGTTCACTGATGTATTCCCAGCACCTAAATCAATGTCTGGCATTTAGAAGAGGCCCAACAGGTTTTCGTGCAATGAATGAATAAATGAAATGAACAAAAATCCCTTATGATTGCATATGGCGGTTGAGAGATCAAGGGACTTTCTGACCTATCATACTCTTCTTTCTAAATCATAAGGCAGCTCTTGCCATTTAGAGAAAAGAATTTGCAAATTTAAAATAATAGTAATAAAAGCAGCTTGGGGTAGATATAAACTTTATTCTGGTTTTATTAGTATCAATTACAAACATAACTGTGTTGTTCTGATAAATGAAGTAATCTGCAAGTAGAGAAGAGAGGAACAATACTGTGAGCATCAAAAATTCAGGCTATTACAGCGAAGTAGTCTTACAGAGGCTGAGAAAATGTAACTAGAAGACATCTAAGTGAGTAACTTCCATTCTACTGTATCAATTTATATTGAATGAGGTATTATTTGGTAGCTCAAAATATGTAATTTACAAATACAGCCGAGAACATATATAAAAATAAAATGATGGCTGTTATTCCTAAAAGGTCTGAGAATAAACACAGGTTTGTATTTTCCTAACACATCTCACTGAGTGACAAGATAACACTCACTTGATCGTTGCCAAGGAAAAGAAAATTCCATTAGTGCCAAAAAATAAATTAAAAAATTCCACTGGCTCTCAAGGACTCTCTCAAATGCTAGGTATTATACAGATTTAAATACATGTCTTTTTCCAATATGCGGACATTTTTCAATTACTCAGAGCCATGGCGGGGTGCTCTGCGTAGATTACAAACTCCGGATGATTTGTACATATGCTTACGGGCAAAGGTTCATTAAGCCTTCATTTTGGGCACTGAATGAAGTTTCCGCAATGGCAAACAGCAAGCACAACACCCTGCATGAACCATGCGACAGAAATAAATTTAAAGAGTGCCTAACAATCAATCGTTTAAAATCTAAAGCTCTTCAATGTACTGGTCTTTGTATTTGAAATTCAAGAAGTATTTTCCTTCCATTTTTCAGGACATTTTAAAACATTACACATATAGCC